ATACAAATATGTAGTAGTTCAAAATAAAGACACACCTATTTATTCTTATAATAATTCCTTTTGAAATATATATTTGTCACTAGAAATACTTTCAATAAAATTAGTTGTTGTAACTCAATAATAGTTTATTTATATATCATCAAAAAAAGACTAAATTATGAAATTTTTTTTTTAATCTTCAGTTTAATTAGGTTTTATATTATCATTAAATAAATTCTATTTTATTCTAATGAAGTGAAATGCAATCTCATCACAATGGCAAAGCTTCTCTCTATATGAAAGATGTTCATAATGTTTTTGTTTTTTTTTAATTGAAAAATAGTTCAATTATTACCATTTGTTCTGTTTTCTTTCGAAATTGAACTTGTATTGTAGGAAATATTTCTTTGTTGAATCATTGAAAAATTTTTTTCAATAACATTCTGTTGAATTTTCATTTGAAACAATTGTATTAAATGTCTTTGCTTGCATGATATGTTCATCGGAAATGAGAAGGAAATGTTTTTTAAATGAGATTTTTATCAAGAAAACATTCATTGACATGATTTTTAAAAATATAAATTGAAATTTAGAAGTGCTCTCTTTGAAGTATTTAAAAGAAAAGTGTATTTGAATTTAGCATTTTTTTTACAGTCTTGATAATTATTTCGTACAAAGTAATCATTTCAAAAATTATTCATATTCGAGAGATTTGGAGATAATTGTTTCGTAAATCTGTGTTTTATAAAACAGATATTTCGAAAGTTATAGAAAACCATTCAATCTATCGTGCTTATGGGAAGCGACTAACGAGGAAACTATTCGAACTGATACACACCGTTTGAGCTCATATAGAGTTCAAACGAAGATCTCGCCAAGATTAGAAAAGTTTTGAAAGAGTTCGCGTCCATAGGCTTCGGAAACCGAGTGCTATGACCTGCATTTTCTTCCGATGTAATTATAAGGATTTATCCTCTTTATCTATAGATATATGTTTATGATGAACTTTTCCTTTTTTTGTCATATACATATTCTGTCTATGGGTGAAATTTCAAGATTTTTCTAGTTTTACCAAGATCTCCTCGTGAACCCAATATCAGCGTAAACAGTGGGTATCAATTCGGATAGTTCCTTCATAAGAAACGCTTGAGACTTCAAGACTTAAAAGATTTCATGACAGTTCAAAATACTGAATGAACCTTCAGAAAGCTTGAAGAAATGAAGACGTTGCGACCAGAGTTAGAACAAATACGGCAAGTAGAAATACTATACTTTTTGTTTGTGATATAAATAAAATAAATTTCGTCAGTAAGATTGATAATCTCTAACAAGTTTTCAAAGATCGATCTGAAATTTATCTGATTAAAAAGTAGATGACGATTAAAGTATTCTAATGGAAGGTTTTAGTCTTATTTAATAATAAATTTATTACAGATCACTAATGAAAATGATCTGCTTTCATTGTTTGACTTGATGCCATCACTGAATATAGTTTTCCATGAAACTAAGAGAAAACAGTGTAAATTTAGATTTATCATTGATAACTCAGAATAAGTGATAGAATTGTCCAAATATTTACTAAATAAAGTTTAATTTGAGAATTTTGATGAAAGATTTTATCAATATATCTTAGAATTGATTATATTTTCAAAAATATAATAAGCTTAAGAAATCATTTGAAAAATATCTGATCTATCTACGCTATCTTTTTTTTTAAATGAACAAATTCCGATCCTATTGCAACACATTGAGAAAATAGAAATTTGATTAAAAAAAAACAATCTTAGATTTTGAACAATACATAAAAAGCTGGAATACTTGTTATTCAATTCATATAGGTATATGAAAAGACGATTAAGTTACCTTATAAATTATCTTTCATTGATGATAATAATGAAATGATCAAGATGCAAAATTTTCTTCTTTCTGGTGTCAAAACCCATGTCGTACGTTTGTTCGCACTTCCATCGGTATGCCGCGGTACTCATAAGAACTGATGGTAGTGGTTACAACTTTCAGTTCCAGCTCCAAATAATCACGGAGAGTGTTTTATATCCAAATTTGAATTATTATTTATAATAAAAGTTCATCTCATAACTGGAACCCATTTGGACTCTGAGCTAGGACAAGCAGCTCAGACGCATCAACATTAAAAACGATTCCATTCTATCACCCATTTTTAGGCAGTGCATCATGATACAAAGATTTTCAAAAGAAACGCTAGTACAACGCACATCACACTGATTGATATACCGACGATAGTTTGTCGATAGTTATTGCATGGGAAAAATGCTATATCTTTAAGAGGTTTATCATTTCTTCGTTAATGTTTTCGTTGATCACCATCAAGAAAAGCAGCTCTTTTTCTTTAATAATGAATGTAAGAAGAGTAAATGATTCATTTCACGAATTTTTTTCTCAAAAATTGTAAACTCAAATTCTATATAGTTATACTGTTTAAAACGTTAATTTCTAATTTTCAATAGACAAAAAAGAAAACAAATTCATATTTCGAACTTCAAAAATCGATTAATACAACTCTTCGAAAAAAGCAACATTCAAAAGGGAAACACGCAATTTTTATCTTTAAAAGAATACTAGACATTTTTCGAAATCAGAAAAGTTTAATATCGTTGATAGAAATGAATAGAACAGATCAAACAAATTACTCTATGCGACTCAAATATCATGTTTTTTAATTTCATTACTTGCTCTGTCAGATTTCTTGTTAAGTTAAAACAGCTGAGTCTTCTGTTTTGATTTTTGTCAAACTTCGTATTACAGTTTATGGCACTTATAAACATTAGCTCTGAGTGCAGACATGAGTACATCTCTTTTATTTATTTATAATCAGCAACTAAATCTATAGTTATATTGTGAATTCCACACAAATGCTCATTATACATCAAAAATGAATACGTTTCTTTTAATGATTATTATAGTTAATACTTCAATTTTTTGCCAAGGAACAAATCTTTAGTAAAACGAATGCAATCAAATCATCACGATTAGAATTTATCAGTCTATAGTAATTAACATTTCCATAGAAATTATTAAAAAAACTAAAATACTGTTCGCCTCAAAAGTATTGTACCACTTTTTTGTTTTGGCTCGCGTTTCAAACTATATGACTTAGATTCAATTTTATTTTTTTTCTTCAGATAGTACAGCTCGAGTACTATATGTATACATATGTTTGAAATTGAGGTTCCTTGAATATTAAGTACAGAAATAAATAAATGTGGAAACCTCGGATTTAAATCCGAGTGTTATGTGTACTTCAAAAAGTAAAAAGCAATTTTTGTTTAAGTATCTTTGCAATAGGTGACTTAGCCTTCTTGTTCCTTAATGTTTTATATACCATTTTGTAGCCCGTGAAATTCTCTATCGAATGGTGTATAATAGCTGAGCTTTTGTTTTATTATGAGAGAAAACGCTTTTTTGCGATAACTCAGCAATTTCTTGGCGAATCATTCTCATCTTCGAACTCGATCGAGATATCGATAAGACGATTCTGTCTGCAAAATTTCATCACAATCGGACGACGCTTTGAACAGTTACCGTATAAACCGCCGGCCAGTCGGCACCACGGACATACTGACCGATCCTATAGGGCACTCACTTTTTGAGTACACAAAACTATGATTCGATTCAAAACTAATATCAGATTCAGAATTAGCGTTAAAAACTGAGTCGATTTATATATGTTGTGAATAATTGAGAGAAAAAAATTTTTTTTTTGAAAAAATTCCTGTACCCCCCCTCAGGGATGGTCTGGTCAAAAATCACAATTTTTTCGATAACTCAGCCATTTCTTGGCGGATCCTTCTCATCTTCGAACTCGACCGAGATATTATAAAGACTAAACTGTGTAGAAAATTTCATCGCGATCGGACTCTCCTTTCAAGAGTTATCGTGTTAACGGCCGGACGGACGGCCGGACACACTGNAAAAAAAAAAGTTTCTTTAATCCAGTACCCCGGTAATAGTAAGGGGTTTAGGGGCGAATGATGCTTCTAATTGCACATAACACTTGGGGCTATCATACCTTATGCCCAACGCAAAATCGAGTTTTTGATCAAAAAAGAGGGGGGGGGGTACCCTTAAGTCGTTTACTTAACACCGAAAAAAACAATAATCAAACAACCATATCAAACTTATATTATGAGAAGCTAATAGTAACTGAAAGAAAAACAACAATTATCATCATAGATTCTTGATGGGACAGAGCTTGGCAAGTACAATTTTACAGCACGATTCACCTATTTTTACTAGTTTTGAAATATCATGTGTTAGAGATGATTGTTCTCTATCTTTTTTGTATGTTTATTCTTTGTTCAAAGTAGTTCCATGGAAAAAAATCACTGACGTTCTGGAAGAAAGTATTTTTCTTCTTTTGCAATAGAAATATTCCCAGTCATACATAGTTAAAATTTTTGAAAAATGATGAAATCTGTATTTCTCAAAAAGACCGTATCTAAGCACCAACTATAAATACGCTGAAGACTAAATTCGCAGCACAATTTCAAAATGTGTCACATATGTTGCACTTTTATGGATCGTACATTATGTCACAAAGTGCGACATACATAACATATTTTATTTGAATGGATATTTATCACATCAGATGAACAAACAGAAATATGAAACTCTCAGATAACTAAAAAAAAAAAAACCTTGTAACAATGAAAAAAAAATGGACCAGATTTCTATAGATAAAGCTTTAGCGCACTGATCAAAACAAATAGTTCTTATACTTAAAGTTCATAGCTTTCATAAAGAACATCGTTTGGCATTATACCGTTTTTTGTTCTTCAAATAATAACAAAATGATGTATTCGTAGTAGAGCTCGTCGGGTTCAACATTTTCGAATCTAAACCTAACCTCGACGGACTATTGCTCGCACTTCTCAACTGTCTTATAAGTATATGAAATTCTCTATATTACATATCTACTCTTGTGTTCTCTATTAGCGATTGATGATAATGATGATTATTATTATTATTATCAAAATCTATGTTCACTGTTCAATAAAAGAATAAATTATGATTACCATTTGATCATCATCAAGACAAGTACTTGTAACAATAATTTTTTTTTCTCTTTCATTTTCATCTTCAATTTTAATACCATTTAATAAAAATTCATGACTACCATTTCTTTTAAGATAATTGGTTGTTAATCCTCGACTGGATGGGGTTAAAATTCTTATTGTACGATCTAATGTAAGTTCATCATCTGTCATAACAGATATTTTTGTTGATGTTAATGTTGTTTGATCAACTGTCGAAGGATTACATTGTATACCTATTGAACGACAACATATACCATTAAATAAAGGTAACGATCGAGGACCTAAAATTGATATTTTAGTTTTATTTCTTTTTTTGTTTTTGTTTTTTATTTTTACCCCTTGAAGATTCAGAACGTTTTTTATTTTCATATGATAATTGTTCTTCATCATCATCATCATCATTATCATTATTATTATTATTATTATTGTCATCGTCAACAGTATCAAATGAATGTCGTAATTTAGCTTGACGACGTCGAAGTATAGCTCGTGCATTATTAAACCATGTTGTTACTTGATCATATGTTATTGATGATTGTTTAGCTAATTGTAGTTTTTCTTGGTTACTTGGATATGGATGAGTACGATGTTCTCGTAGCCATTTTTTTAAAAAAGCTAAATCAATAAAAAAAAAAAAAACAATTTTTCTTATTTCGTATTAACCAAAGATTATTTTATACTTGTTGGAAATTTTTCTCGACTAGCTGAAAGTGCATTGATTAATGTATGATCTATTTGTGCACCTAAATTATCTTCATCTATTAGAGATGATAATTGATCTTGTTTAATATGTGTATCATCATCTAAATATTATATGTATATAAATATATAAGTATAATAAAAAAATTAAGAAGAAAATTTAACCTGAAGCACTATAACTCTGTGATACATTATCAATATTTGTTTCTTCTTGTTGATTATCATCATAATCGATTGATTCTTCTTTTATACTTGAAATTGTTTCTTTCTTTTGTGAATTATAAGGTTCTAGAATAAAGTTTTAAATTTAATATGTATTAGAATATTCATATTTTTAATTATGAGAACGATTGGTAAAAAAGATACATAAATTGAAATCAAGAAATTCATGATGGAACTTTTCCAACTGATTCTCTTTGTTTGAGCTTATATAGTTTAGATGAAAGCTCTGCAAAAGTTCATATCTTTAGGTTCATCTTTTCGCGTCATGATCATTTTACTAGACTTTCAGCTTACTGCAAAATATTACGAAAACAAAACGCAGTAAGGAATTACCATCTACAATTTTAGTTAATAACAGAGCTTATGCTACTTTAGATGGTAGATAAAAATTTAGCCAATGGAATTTTCTATATCAAGGTTTCTGCAAAAATCGAAAACGGCAGTTTTCTGTGTCTTTCGACAAGATACCTCAATTTTTGTTTTTTCTAAAAACTCATTTATAAAAGTCGATAACTGTTTTACGTTGACATGAGCTCTTAAGGAATGCTCGGGTAGAAACTACAGCTTAATTCAATATCACATTTTGTAGAGATGCGTCTGTTCTACAAAATGCCCGATTTCAACAATTTTTTGCATATTCGAAAAGGGACTTATAGGATGAACAAAAGCCTGTTGTCTCACCATAAAAATGTTTTTTTTTAGGTCTTTCAAAAGTTTCTCGTCACTCTTGAACAAGAATAGACACACAACATTTCTAAGTTTTTAGCTTGTCTGAAATGCTTTCAAGCAGACGAAAACGAACAAACATGTTTACCGGAACCGTCGGTCTACAAGTCCCATCCAAACTAATTTTTTGGGTTTTCAAAGATTGTTCCACTGAGCTTGAATAAAAGTTAAGACAGAATTTCTAACGAAGAAATCACCTGATGTTTGAGATAAGGTCCTAGTCATTACACAGGGTCTGTTAAGACTAGAAGACTGTTAGAAGGATTCTTCTTTATGCACTGCCCTTTTGGAATTAGGACCATTATATTGGATTTTTTACCATTGGCACGATCATAAATATATCAATTGAAAAGAGTATTCTCTTGTCTAGATATCAAACTCACAAAAAAAAACATGATATACTATCAAAGGGGCAGCGTATAAGATATCTCGAGTGGTTTTCTTGTACGCCCTATATTCGGAAAGAGTACAAAAGTCTGATTCTAACCCATAGCTTTTGACCAAATTTCAGACTCGAGACTGAGACTAATCCAACAGGTTCAAGTCAAAAGTGGATAAATATCTTGTTTAAAAACTTTTCGATCATCTATTAGGAAGAAAAAGTCTAATTGATTATTGACCTGTTTTTTCATCAATTGATGAAGTACTATTCTCTCTTGGCATAGTCATCGTTCCTGATCCAATAATGTTCAAAGCCATAGTTGGTGCTGTATTTGGTTTACCATTAAGTTTAATAAAATGTTTTCTACATAATTCATTTCGTTGTGCAGCTATTAAACATCCAGGTATTGAACAAATAGTACGCCAAACAACACCATCAAATTTTTTTCTTGAACCATTTTCCATTTCAATAATATCACCTTTATTTGGATGATTTATATCAACAGATGCTGGAATAACTGCTATTGATAAACGACGATTCGGTTTTGGTATAGAGTTTTTATTTATTGTATCAAACATTGATAATTGAGAATGATTAGCAGATGATGGAGATTTTAGTCGACGACGTTTACGTGATGAAGATGAACTTATAGATTGTCTTAATGGAGTCGGAGAAGGTTCAGTTAAAAGTTGCTGTTCAGATTCAGAACAAGATAATGATGGACTATTAGTTTTACCACGAAATTCTTGATAATGATGTGGACATAAACTAAATGAAACAATAAAAAGAATGCGCTTATGTTTAAAACATATAATTCTATTTGAGAAAAAAGAAATACTAAACCCATTTTGATATTCAAGACTTCCATGTACAACTATAGTACAATTTGGTTTATTACAAATACGTCGATATTGTCGTCCGTCAAATTTTTTTCTTATACCATTTGGCAAAATAATAATATCACCTTTTTTTGGTTGTTCTTCTTCAGATGAAATTTGTTGTGTTTGTGATAAATCATTATCATTTTTTAATATTTTACGCTTTTTTAACGCAGCTAAATGTGGTTTACATAAACCTTGACTTTGCGTATAATAAGTACAATTAGGTTTCGAACACATACGGCGCCATGATGAACCATTATATTTTTTTCTTGTACCATCATTCATTTGTATAATATCACCTGTATTTGCTGTTAGGGGTAAAGATGTTTCTTCATGAAATATTTGATTGTCAAATGAAGTACTTTTTTGTGGTTTTAATAAACGAGTACGACTATTATTATTATTATTATTGATACGAGGAGATGTATGATTTGTATAAGATGTAGACGTCAAAGGTAAAATACGTTCAGATAATGAACGAAGATCATCATCATCAACTTCCGGATCCATGATTATCTTAAGTATTATAATCAAGATATATTTGTATCAGAAACATACGACACCCTTCAAACATTTGTTGACAAACAAGCAAGTCCTATCTGCCAGATCGAACGGTCAAACTTGTCAACCAATTAGAACTTTATTACTTGGTCATATGAATCAAACGTTAGATGATGATAAATAGCGACCTCTATCATAAATAATTCGAAGGTTTGTTGTGTTGTAAGAAAAAAAAAACGAAGATATGAGCAAGAGAATTTATTCATTCATTTGGGCAAAAAGAGAAGACGATTCTTTTTTCAGAAAGGTCGAAAGTGTTCGTAGAGAAAATGACGTAAAGTATTGGAAATGAAAAATTAAGACAAGGTTTTTTATTTTATATATGATTAGATAGAGCATGACTAGTTGATCAAGGATAATTGCATTTTCATTTCCTTGAAAAATTTCAAAACTGTGTGTTTGAGATTTAGCGAAAAGAAAACTGAATCTAGAAAACTGACTTATGAATCAATTACATAGATTTAGTTTTTCATGCTAAGTATGAAACAAACAGTTTGGAAATTTTAAAGGAAATGAAAAATGAAAAATATACGTAATCTTTATCAACTCGTCACGCTCTATCTAACCATATACACGTAGTCGACAAAGTATCCGGACACCTGACTGTATTTATTTTTCTATTGGCCGATTTGTACAACAATGATAAGGAATTAATTTTCTCTTGTTCACGAAGGATTGAAATCTTAATTTTCAAATAGAATAAAGTATAAGTTAGATGCTATCAAATACTGAAAGAAGAATATGTGTGTTCTCTGTTTAAGAAAAAATTTGAATATTTGTACAATACAAAGAAAGAATTAATTGATGTCCAGATACTTTATGGACGATCTGTATAAAGAAGAGAAGAGATACAACTTTTGCTTTAAATTTTGTATTTCTGACATCTTAATAGAAACGATCTTTTTCAATTATGAATTCTTCATTTTGTTTTAAAAGCTATTCGTACTTTAAAACCATTTACGGAACACCCCATTCGCTTTTTCAGGGTTCTTCACGAACAGCTCATCAGAAGTATTTGAAAGTTTTAGGGTAGATAGATCTCAATGAGCGAAGCAAAAATTGTCACAGACTCCTAATTCTCAAATAGTTTCTTCTAGAACATATCTAGGCCACAAAGGAAAATAAACGTCTCGCTTTCTTAGCTGTCATAAGTCTGAGAGAGTTGGAATTTATATTTACAGATACTAAACACTGTTTGGAGTGCCTAATTTTTTTTGTTTCTTTTATCTCCTTTCATTCGAATAATAAGGTCAAAGTATCGAATGTACTTCCAAAGAAACATGTTTTTGTTACTAGAACACTTTTTGTAAAATCTATGCAAAATCAACGATGCAACATTTTGCAAAGCAAGAAAGAATACACACCTCAAACAGTGTCCAATTCTTGTAAAAAACTTCCAGCTCGATCAAACAGAACTTTTTATTAGCCAATAAAAGTATTGACTAATAAAGAAAAGTTCTGATCTGTATGGCATTTGTAGAAGATACTTTGAAGCTATATTAGCGATGAAAAACCAAAAATCGGAAAAATTTTGATTTTAGCATCTAAAAAGAGGGTTTCTTTAAGGAAAAAAGCTGTCTTCATTTCAAATTAGCTCTTAACAACCAGATCTACTGATCTGACTTGATCTATCAGTATAATATTTGGTCTAGTTACTAGATCAGGCTTGACTCATATATTTTGGACATCAAATGTTGATGATTCTTGAAACAAATGTTTGAATTGAACATTAATTTAATGTTGTGGAAATTACATCGACTGACAGAAGAATTTGTTTTAGATCCAAAAAAATTGAATAATAAATTTTGCGTTCGTGCTGTTTGCAAAAATCGATTGTCATTTGTAAATGTTTTTGCTTGCCATTATAAGTATCACTTATTCACGACATTTTCTTTTACCTCTTCAATATGCCTAATCACATGTTGTTTTTGCTGTCATGATCACAATTTTTCGATGATACAAAATAGTATTGATTTAATCAAAAACATAGTGTTAAAATCAGGCCATTTTTATAATGATTGTCTCTTTGTCTTAATTGGTTATTTCATGCAAGAATTTTTTATTATCTTATATTTATGAATACGATTTAAGTGAGCAAATGAAACTAGAATGATATAATTAAATGCATTCAAAAAAAAAAATCAATCGACCTGGTTGGGTCTGCAGATCAGAAGAGAATCATATTTGAGCGCGGTATGATATAAAATATAAAATGCTAATTTACAGTTGAATCTATACTCATGAAAATACAATAGATATGCTGCTCTATTGTTCGCGTAACATAAATCTTCTGCTCGGAAAAAATCTAATTTCAAAATCGATTCTGCGAAAAATTAGATCAGTTTTACCAAAAATATTAAACTAAATAAAGTATGTTGAGAATTGAAAAAAAAAGAGATAACAATCGTTTTATTTAACTGTTAAATTAGACTTGTACGTTTTCATTTCGAACCAAAATCAATTAAGCTGTCGCAGCAACTTTAAAACTATTGAAATTCTCATTAGTCGAATCTATATTTAGAAGATAGAATACATTGTTAAAAGATTTTAAATAACATAAAAACAATTTGCAGAAAACTCTACTACAACTATCTGTCAACTTCTTGAAGTTTTAATTAAATATTCATACACAATCACTATCTGCATTAATTCTTTTAATTCGGATGTGATTATGAATTGTATCTTTATATTTACTAATTGAATAAGATTAATTGGAAATGTAACATATTACAAAAAATCTAAATTTTACATTTAGATTGTGTGATATTAAAAATTCAAATACTCAGTATCTCTTATAGGCTTGCTAAGAGTAATAATAGTGATCTGATATAGTGTATATAAATGCGGAAACTTCGGATTTAAATCCGAGAGTTATGTGTACTTCAAAAAGTGAATCATACAAATCAATCATCCTGGACTATCTGAATATCAAAATTATACTGTGAAATCTACCATTTAAAATGTTGATTTATATTGCGCGTTGCCAAACCAATAGGATATGGGACCGAATACAGCTCAAGTTTGAACTCTGCACCTTGATTTACTCTAAGAAAGTCGTTTTTCCTATAACTTCATTTCTATTGGTCACTGCACAACTAATAGTATTCCGATGGAAGTGCAGTACACATTCGAGTTCNCAAGTACACGACGACATTCCTACACATATTCAACATTGACCAGTGGCAAATCGAGCTGTTTAGCACGACGTGTCTTGTAAGTATCGACATCATCTGCAACCAAAACGTAGTCCGTCTGAAAGAAAGAATTAATTTCAAAAACAATTGTTTGAAAAAAACAAAACAAACCCATACACTAGCTGTAAGAATGTATGAAATATAAGCTTGTTCTACACGTAAATAGCTGATAAGAACAAGGCAAACGAATATCGATACAGTATGCATTCGGTGATGATTCAAATGAACTACAACAGTTGTTTGCATCGTATTATTATCGAGTGGCCATCATGCCACGTGTGATACCAATTCGAGAGATGTTACCTGATCAATTAGGATCGAAATTATTGTTACGTGTAAGTAAGCTATTCGTTGAGAAAGACAAAAAACAAACTAGTGAGACTCGTTCTAGTCTTTGTTTTCACATCGTCTCGACACACAAATGCTCGACGAGAATGTATGTCAATTGGTCGAATCCATTTGGCTTGAATCGATTGGTGATCTCGATACAATGTTGAGTGTACCACCTGAATTGATCACTCTGAAATCGGTGTGTTTAGTTTTTGCTTTCACGTAACTTATTATATTGTTTTTGGTGAAAACTAAATAGATTATCGAAGCGGAAGCTGCTCTACTTGAACTCAAATCGAGCAATGATTCAGCTGCTGCACATCGCTTCTATTCACTGATTCCACATCGACCACAATTCAATGTTGACCTTGTAAAAAATCGTCGAATATTGATCGAAAAAATTGACTTATGTCAAGTACGTTATCATCTTCGCTTGCTGTTTTGCACTTGATTTTATCATTGCTCAGATGTTACGAGATATGCTCACAGTAAATGAGCTCACCAATTGGAATGTAAGAGCATCGATTGAAGCCAAGTATCGAGCATTGAAATGTCACATTAAAACACTGGATGATTCTACACCCGAATTTAAAACCATAGTCGATTTAATTCAAACATCAACAGATGAGTGCGGAGAATTCTAATTTTATTGAATAACACTAGTTTGTTTGTTGTTTACTAGTGGTGAACAAGTTGTTATTCATCACATATTCAACGTGAACAAACAGACGGATGCACTCAATTTTTGTATGTCATTATTCAATCAACGACAGCTTTTTCATGGGTCAAGATATAACAACTTTCTTGGGATTCTTTCACGGTAGAATTCTTTTCTTGTTCCTAATAATATTGATAGTTCATTTGTTTATATTCAGTGGCCTGGTCATGCCCAAAATGGTAGTCGATGAATTAGGCGTCACGCGAGTTGATATTGGTTGTCTTGGTTACGGGATTTATTTTTCGGATTCTGTGTCCACATCGCTTAAATATACAACGGTTAGCACAACACGACCCGGTCGACGATTATTATGCATTTGTCAAGTAGCACTAGGCGAATCAGCCAACTATTATTCGTTTTCGCCGACTCTCACAAAGCCACCTGATAGTTTTCATAGTACGCACGGAGTTAGACGAACGAAGGAGAATCATTCAATGTTCACTGTAAGTATTTTCATTCGATCTCGTTGAAAAAATCATTCTCGAACTTTTGCCATCGAAATTGATGATGACACAGTTCGAAATCGCCATCTGCCAATGCCGCCTGATACAGTGTCTCGGCACTTGGTGCCATGCCCATTAAGCGGTCATTTTTTTAGCTAATTAATAATAAATGTTTCTAATTAGTGTTGTTAAAGTATTAGTGAGTAACCCTCCTAAATTATCGAGAATGTCAGTTAGATGGGGGCAAAAGTTGAACATTTTTTAGGCAGTACTGGGGAGTTGGTTGCTTTCGGGGACCCAACTTCTAAGTGAAATGTTTTTCAAGAAAAATCCCACTAGAGCGTCAGAAATTTGCGTCGCGCGCGGCAGATTTCTGAAAAACATATGACTGTGTATGCCAAAACTTGCGGAAAAAAGTTGAATTCCCAAAGTAAAAAATGTTCCAAAAAGCAGTTCCACATAAATTTTGCCGGCAACAAAAATTAGATATTTTACCAGTAGCATTACAACGGTATTTCGCGAGACGGTATACCGTAAATCTTTTGCACTGCCGATACGATACACTTTTTTTACAGTGCCGTTAGTCTCTGTTAGGCAACTGGGTAAGTCGAAAGAACGACCAAAGTCGATTAAATATGGCATAGAGTATAGTCTTTTTTTGACGTCACAAACGTCTTTCTGCATTTTTCAAAGGATATCCGAGGTCTTTATAGACTTAATTCTATCGAAATATAATATTTGTAATCACCCACCGCGGAAGTGCTATCTTTGTAATGCGACAAAGGATTGCCCTTGATTTGATTGCAACACCGAAACAAGTCCGAAATAATTAGTCCATACGTCCTACTCATTTTCTAGCATATCTTATTTTGGTCAAAATAGGATAACGAATATGCGATATATGAACTCGATCAACAACGTTTACTCTACATTGTCGAAGTTTCATGGATACCGAACGATGTTCTCAATATTAAATTAGAACGATTACCAATTATTCACAACCAACAACATCTATTGAAATTAAGTGAACACGGTAAATAATGATTCTATTTTTAGAATAATGTTCGATTCTTTTATTTTTTGTTTTGTTTTGCTCTTTAGTCGAAGTCCCATTGACAATCGATGATGAAGTCATTCAAGTTGCCGAACAGGATTATGGTTTAGTATGTCCATCGTCGGGCAAACTTGTTCCACTTAAATCATTTCACATTCGTGCTCAAATTGTCGATACTATAGTTGAGGTAATTGATGTTCGATTGACGTATAATAATTCATCACGTTTCCAAAAAAAGGTTGCTCTCTATCAAGTCTATCATAATACGAGTTCAATACCAATCGAAGCAAAATACGTATTTCCTCTTGATGAAACTTCAACAGTATGCGGTTTTGAAGCACATATCAATAATAAAGTAATCAAAGGTATTGTCAAAGAAAAAGAACAAGCTAAACAAGAATATCGTGAAGCAATTGAAAAAGATTATGGTGCCTATTTGATGCATCAAGAACAGGCCGAAGTGTTCAGCATCGCTGTTGGCAATTTGCCAGCGAATACTGAAGTCATTATTAAGATAATTTATGTTGCAGAATTAGAAATGGAAAATGGTGGTATTATATTTCGTTTTCCAGCCAAAATGGCTTCATGGCAAACGAAACAAGCGATCGAAACAAAAGATCAATCTACAATACGATCGATTGATATTGTCGATGAAAGAGTTGAATTTAGTCTCAAAGCATCAATTCGAATGCCGTACGAAATAATCAAATTATTTTCGCCAACACATTGTCTTCGTCGAAAATTAACCGATTGTATAGCCATGATCGAACTTGTCGATAATGTTTTACTTGATCGAGATTTTATTCTTTCGATTACACTGAAAAATGCTAATTTACCTAGAATATTAAATGAAACATTGTCATTGGATGATGATGATAATGATTCTCAAGCATGTATGCTTACATTTTATCCACGATTCGAACTATCGACTAAATCAAATGAACAAATCGAAATTATTTTTCTTATCGATGTATCCAATTCAATGAATGGTAGTCATGTACAACAGGCTAAACAATTGGCTCATTTGTTTCTGACGAATTTGACAATTGATAATGGAAATATACTTTTTAATATTGTTACATTTGGATCAGGTTCGACAAAGAATAGTCTATAGTACTTCTATTATTCAAATTTGAACTATTTAGATAATGATGAATGCTTTCCAATTGCAATGCCGGCGACGAAAGAGAATCTTGATAAAGCCAAACACTTTGTTCTGGTTCGTTTTCATTTTGAATATGATGATTCCTGAATGTATAGATGCTCATCTATTTTAGCATTCACTTGTCAATCGTGGTAATACGGATCTATTTGCTGTCCTCTATCGATATTCTCTGTTGTCATCATCATCATCGAAATTTGCTCGTCAATTTATTCTTCTATCCGATGGACATATTCATGATCTTAAATCGATTCTTGCTCTACTCGAACATCAATCGACAATGTGTCGTGATCGTCTATTTACATGTGCTATTGGCAATGTTGCTAATAAACACAATTTGAAACGATTAACTCGTGGAGCAAATGGAGGTGGTTTAACAACCATTTTCGATTCGAATTATCGATCAAAATGGAAAACTAAAGTACAAAATATTCTCGAACATATTCAACAACTATGTGTTACAAGTATATCAATCGATTGGCATGATAGTAGTTTGGATGTGCAACAAAAATTCAATAACCAAGCTCCAAAAATGATTCGATCATTATTCAATGGGATGAAACTTACTGTCTATCGATTTATACGAAGTTGTCATAAGGCAACATTGACAGCAACAATCAATGGACAAGAATTTATTACAACTGTATTTAGTAGTACAGTAACAATGACCAAAGGTCGCATTCTACATTGTCTAACTGCTCGAGCGTTTATTGATGATTTCGATAATGGAATATTGCATATCGACGAAAGCGAGAATGAATTAATTAAAATTCAATACAAACGAGATCTTATCGATTTAAGCATAAAATATTCGGTTATAAGTCCTTATACGAGCTTTATTACTATCGAAGAACGTGATAATACACAAACTCATCAAACAGGTTTCATCAAAGTATAACTATGTAGAATATTTACACATGTACTTTATTTCATAGGCGTTTGTCTTGTTAATGTAATGGTCGATCGTGATATCGACTTGCTTCCATATATTGGATGGGATGGTGATATGTCACATTTAACATCGATGAAACAGAAATTGATTAATGCACGTATTTCACTCGAAAGTGCATCGATTTTAAGCAAAAAAGATTCGATTGTTGATATTGAAAAGTTTTGTGAAAAAATTTCTTATCGATCAGGTGACGAGGCAAAATTTGATATGATGATGACAATCATACGTACGTATCATTATTCATTCAATGAACCGGAAAAAGCAAACCAAATCGAAGATAAAATGCGAAATGGTATGTAGATTGAACTAGAATTTCGAATTTCATTCGAAAAAATCAATATAGATATAATGATTGAAATGAAAAATGCAACGTCAGAAGAACGACAAGCATTGAAACAACGATGTGAAGCGCACAATTTGAAGATCAATACTGATGAATCGTACGTAAAAATAAATGTTCTAAATAAAATTTGACATTCTGCTTCTTGCAGTGAAACATGCGACGAAATTAATGGTAAGAAACACAATTCTTTTACTTCAAGAATCTTGAACTAGAGATATTCTTCTTTTTTCTCTACAATATTCGATTCCGTATACGTATAGTGTAATTTAGATTAAGATGAGAGAATGACGAAATCTATTCGCGAAAAAAAATGAACACACCATTTTATTTAATTAAATGTGCAACACATCCAGAAAACCTATACAAAATATTCTTTTCTGTTTGTCTAGACCTGCCACAGTAACTAATTAGTTCTAATTTACTCATGAGGTAGGCGCAGGTGTGGCTCACTGTTTCTATCACCCATTCCCATACCCGATTCGAAAGAAGTACAGAGTAGGCCACAAGTCACTTTACCGAAAAAAAATTGAATATCTTCATTACGAGTTGATTTTTAATCAATGATAGAGACATGTTCAAGCTTTGTATTCATAAGGACATGCTTAGAAAGACCTTTTGTTAAGTATCACTATTGACCTCAACAGAAAAAGTTTACTTTTCCACAGATAGGAAAAAAACAATATACTTAACAAAGACTCTCACTAATGTTGTCCATATGGATTTAGAGTATGAACATGTCTCTATCTTTGGTAAAAAGATCAGCTTGTTTGCTCGAGCCGTAAAGAAGCTATTTAATTTTCTTTCCGATAAAGTGACTTTTGACCCACCACGTATACAAAATTCAAGTCATTCTACATGAACGTTGATTCATTCTGAAACATTTCAAAAGCTAGACGACGAAGCACATTTTCTAAAGCAATCTTTATTCTTTTTTTGCACAGAACTGAATCTGTCCCAAGAACCGGATGCCGAAGCATTGAGAGAACTTATGGCAATGATAAATGTAGAAATCTTTAGAAATCTCAAGCCATCTTTAGAATTCCAAATCAGTCTTTTCCTCTTTGGAACAGTGCGTGGGAAGGGGTCACACGAGAGAACAGTGCGATACATACAAGTTCGGTGCAAAGTGATTAACTAGGTCATACAGAAGTAGAAGAGAGAACATACAAGAAGTGGAACATAACTGTAAATAGTTGTGATAGTACTGAGGCATAAAAGTTTTGTCAACACAGCACTAACATAGCTATTCTCAACTTACTGCTACACTATGAACACATATTTAGATCTTACTACCTCGAAAAAATCAAGCCAATCATCCTATGTAAGTGAACATTTCGTTTGTCCTTCTTCTGTTTATAATTGCTCGTTTTTCACGTGGTATCGCAGTGTAGAACAAAATTACAGACTTTTCCTTGAAATACACGGTAAAATTAAACATAACTTTTGTAGTGCTGAAGAAAAGAGTGCATCTATCCATGGTATAAAATATCAATAACAGTCAGCGATCAGAAAAGATTTGATGAGTACAATGCGAATATAGAGCATGACGATAACTCCTAACACCAATACCCAAATTAACATCTATATCTATAGACTGTCAAAGTAGAAAACGAAATCTAACAAGGGGAAATGTGCAGAAAAAAGTGGACTGTCGAACTGTATATATATTAGAAATAAATTCAAGAGGGAGCAGATTTCGATCCTTATCCGGCCGGGTCCTTTCATAACCTTAGGCTCCGGCTCAGTTTTACGAATGTAAGGATGACTTCATTTTTTGTTGTCCGTCCACCCCGTAGTCATTATTTGTCATTTGTTCGCGAATTCCATACCTCAATAACTCACGAGGTCGTTTGTAAATATTGCAATATATAAAGAAGTCTGTAACGAATAGGTTATGAGCAACAAGAATGCAGCAGTGATCTCAAACGAGGCCGAGGGATTACAGATGTCCAAGCTCGCCGAACAGGCCGGACGCTATAATGATATGGCTGATGCAATGAAAATTGTGGCTATGTTGAAGAAAGCGGAGTTCACCAACGAAGAGAGAAATTTGTTTTCGATGGCCTACGAGAAAGTCATCGATGCCTGCCGATCAGCATGGCGAGTGACTTCCAAAAGCGTACTGAAAAACATCGCGAGCGCTGCCATCAAGCAGCAACTGCAAAAAATTGAAATGGAGCTAAGTGACACCTGCTATGAAATCTTGACCTTGCTCGATAAGTTTCTCATTCCGAAGGCGAGCACGTCCGAATCGAAGGTATTCTTCGAGAAGATGAAAGGCGATAGCTACCGCTATTTGGCGGAAGTGACCACAAGTGATGAGCGACAGAAAATGATCAACGAATCGCAGCGAGCCTATAACGAAGCTCTCGACATTGCCAACGAAAACTTGCCGTCAACTCATCCCACTCGGCTTGGTCTTGCTCTCAACTTCTCCATTTTCTGTTACGAGATTTTGAACTCGCCAGATCATGCCTGCCAGGTCGGCAAAGTGGCTTTTGACGACGCCATTGCGGAACTGGACACGCTCAACGAAGACTCGTACAAACACAGCACAGTCATCATGCAAGTCCTTCGAGACAACCTAACGCTGTGGACGAGCGACACTCCGGATGTAAACGATGAGGTACAGTTTTGATTCTTGCAGAAAAGTCAAAAGTCGAAATTTTCTAAGTTTGCCAAAAACTCAGGACGAAAAGAACGACAAACTATTTGGAGCAAATCAGTTTCAAATTCTGAGACGCCGTAGAAGAATCTTTCAAAATGTCTTTTTCGAAGTCATCAGCTTTATAGATGCAATCGGTACTGGCGACTGACTGGTCTGGCAAAGGATTTCCTACAGGTCGATGTTCTGAGCGGTAGAATGATGGTAGGCAAAACGGCGCCAGTAGGTGCTGGTAATGACCGGTAAGCACCGGTAAGGTGCTCTAAATTGATAGTGTATTCGTTTTGCTTTATTTTCTTATTGACTGGGAGATCTTCAAGCAGTTTATATGTGCACGGGCGAGAATAAAGATAAGAGAATGATAGGTACAATATGTTTGCTATTTATGACAGCAATCACATCTGATAGACAACGCGACAATTTACTAAGCCGTCTGTGTGGAGTAGAGCAATGCTGGTCAGTGTCAGCACTAGTTTGAAAACCATCGAGCTGATGAAAGTCACCACCTTCTGCCAAAACTGCTTTTTCTCGCTGAAAAACACAACTTCCCACATATCCTTGGTCAACAGCCGTCAAATTTTCAAAAGGTACCCCTTGTATGAACTTTCAATTTTGTTTTCACCTTTTACGGAATTTCGAATCTGTTAAAAAAAATGTTGGTTTTCACAGGGTCACGGCACTAGGATAGGGATTAGAACGTTTCAAAAGCTGTTTTTTTTACAAAGACCTGCGTTGAAATTTCTCGTAGAGGGTCTCGTGTATCTCAGATTTCCGAGCATGTTGAAATACGTATGTTTAGTAAAATTCAACTTCATACGCCTGGAGGAACGAAATTTCGAAATTTCGTTGCTCAAATCGTATGAAGTTCAAAGTACGGGTCAGACCGATATTTTGGGGGTGCTCGAAATAATTTCCAAACTTCGCTGGAGAAAACGACAAATTTTTCGTATATGGGGAGGAGTTGTGACCCCCTCCCCTTTGGCGACGGCATTGATGGTCAAAACCGTTTCTCGCTAGCTGATTGTGCCCTGGAGTTAGTCAGCATTCACTGACTGACAATTCTATTTTGAAACGAATAGTATGGGAACACCGTTTTTCGAGATACGTTGTCGTCTATGTGGACTCGACAGACAATCTTGTTTAAATATCTGAACATTTTGACCAGTTTAGCGTTCGAAGTTCAATCGAATGGGGTATTCCTCAAAAGAGTTGTATAGGAAACGGGTAAATGAGAAAATCTTCTCTGAATAAAATCGTACTAAATAGGTTGGCAGCGACGAGAATCCAGTCATCATATTAAACGGCAAAGAAGAAGTTCAGGTGACCAAGCTCGCCGAACAAAGTGACAACTATGACAACATGTTCGCCGCAATGAAAAAAGTGGTTATGTCGAGAAAAGCGGAGTTAACATACGAGGAAAGAAACTTGTTCTCAGTGGCTTACAATAATGTCCTCCGTCCTCGTCGTGCATCGTGGCAAGTCATCCATAGCATCGAACAGAAAACTGTAGCTTCCAAACTTCAACAAAAAAAACTCGAAAAAGAGCTGAAAGACATTTGCCACGAAGTCTTGACTCTGCTCGATGAGTTCCTCATTCCAAAGGCGACCACGGCGGAATCAAAAGTATTCTACAGGAAGATGAAAGGTGATAGCTACCGCTATTTGGCGGAGATTGCCACGGATGACGAGCGACAGAAAATGATCAAAGAATCGCAACGAGCCTACGACGAAGCGCTCGACATTGCTAAGGAAAATCTGACATCGACTCATCCCATTCGACTTGGCCTTGTCCTCAACTTCTCCATTTTCTACTATGACATCTTCAACGCGCCAGATCGTGCCTGCCAGCTCGCCAAACTGGCTTTTGACGATGCCATTGCAGAACTGGACACGATCAGCGAAGAGTCGTACAAAGCTAGCACACTCATCTTGCAATCAATTCGAGACAACCTAACGCTGTGGACAAGCGATGCTCCAGAAGAAATCAAGTCGCCAATTAAGACGACTAGCATTACTACTCTTCGCATCCCAAGTTAAGACACTCAGTTGAACTGTACATGTCTGTCAGGGCATACTTCTGATGAAGTGTGTTTTTTTGTGTTTGAAAAAGGAAACTGAATATCGAATTAACACCTATTTATGAGGATCAATGCAAAATACACTCCGACAGCACCTTCTATCTACTTCGTCTACATATATGTAGGTCCATGATAGAGAGCGTTGCGGGATAGCTGAACAATCACACGCACCCAGATCCTCTCTATCCTATTTCTCTCTCTCCCTATTTTTATTTGTGAAAACAGTTGTATTTATACACACGATGAACTAGGACAAAATAGAGGCTTCCGAGAAGAAGTCGAATTTCTTCCTTCCTCTACATAATGCTACGCCAAGTTTGGTCAACAACAACAATCAACACCAAAACCAAAATTCGACTTTATAACACTATTGTTCTCCCTACTGCAATTTATGCCAGTGAAACATGGAAAATCACGATGCGAATAGCGCGAAAACTGAACGTATTCCACCAGAGATGNGAGCTCTACTGAACCATGTAAAAATATCAAGAGAAAATATTTTACTCGGTATTTGAATTACTGAGCGCTTTGATTTTCTATGCCAAAAAAAGTATCAAATTTCTGAATATTTCTTAAGTTCGACATTAAAAAGTTTTGACAACTCTTACTATTTAATACTAATAAATCCCATTTTCGACGGGCTTTAATCTGGTATAAAATTAGTTATG